ACAGCAAAACCCAGCACCAGTAATTGGTTAGGAAGTCAAATTTAAAAGAATGTAAAGTTCTTATTTCAACAACAACAACAACACTCTTCTCTGAGCACAAACAAGAAAAGGACTCATGGAAGTGTGATAGGCACTGGCAGTCTTTCTGGAAACACATCTGAGGAGATGTGATTCTAGATAGGCAGCTGCACTGGGTTACTCGGGCCATGACCCACTTCATACCTGACAGTCAAGGTTTACTAGCTCACGCCTCTGATTTAGGTCGGATTGGCTTCCCCCTTAAAACAGCTAACACCCTGAGAAAGGAAGAGCACTCTACCGTGTAGAAATATGGTTCTGGCTGAAGTATAGAATGGTCTGAATAGAAAAAGGCCATTAAGTGGGATTTTGTTGTTGTTTTAATTATTTTTATTCTATAAAACGTGTTCATTCATTCATTAATCCTATGTCTTGATTGCAGACCCCCCCTCCATGACTCTCAGTCCCACCTACCCTCACATACCCCTGCCCCACTACCCAGCTCAGGGAAGACTTGTGGAAGAGTGGGGAGAAGGACTGAAGGATCCTGGAGGGTCAAAAACACCACAAGAAGGCCTACAGAGTCAACTGACCTGGGCCCATGGGGGCTCACTGTTATCATTCCTTCTTTGCTCTGCCCAACAGTTACCTGGCAACAGCTACATAGGTCTGGGTTACTATAAAAGGGGCTGTTTGGTCCCTCCTCACTCTTTCACTCTCTTACTCTCTCTGACTCTCTTCTCTTCCTGTCCCCTTTCTCCCTCTCCTCATCTTCTTTCTCTCTCTCCACGTGTTCCTGGTCAGCTTCTCTCTCTCTCTCTCTCTCTCTCTCTCTCTCTCTCTCTCTCTCTCTCTCTCTTTCCCCTCCCTCCCTCTCTCTCTTCCCTCTCTCCCCCTCTCTCTTCCCTCTCTCCCTCTCTCTCTCCCCTCCCTCTCTCTCTCTTCCCTCTCTCCCTCTCTCTTTCCTCCCTCCCTCCCCCGACCTCTCAAGATTGTTTTCTCTCTCAGCTTCTCTCTCCTGTGGTGCCAAAAAAGAACCTAGGCCAGGCCTAGGTAAACCATTCTCCTTTGGGCTCTGAGCCTCACAGCTCAGGCGCTGGTCCCTCAGTTCAGTTGCTAGATCACTGCATGACAATCTAGTAAATCTAGCCTGGCTGCTTATTTCATCCTAGTTATTAATTTACCCTTGAACGCCGTGGTGTGATTAACAACTCCTTCATCCTAGTTATTAATCTATCCTCAGAATGTGGCAAGTGATAAAATTAATAACTCCTACTGTCACCCAGAAGGGAAGGTCTTTGCCACCACTCCCAGGCTCCCTACTGGGAAACCTCCTGGTTGAATTCACAGGCTAAATTTGGCCTCATTATCCACAAAATAATAACTTTAAATGGCTGCTTAGTGACACTTTAAAAAGAAAACTGCAATCCAGAAAAATGGAGAGATTTCTACGTAGGCTTCCCTCCCCACCTCGTTCTCTGGAAGCTTGCTTTCTTTGCCCTCTGCTCCGATTCCTCACCCCCTTGACTCTGCTGTAGCAGCTAGCCTCTGCTCTCTGTGGAGTTGCTGGCAGACAGAGCACAGTTGCAGGTACTCTCACTACCCTCCCCACCAACCCCCCCTCAGATGCTTGCCTTCTCACACTACCCGCTTGCCTGCCCACAGGCCCTCACACTGCTGCTCTGGCGTGGGCCGGGTGCGCGCATTTTCCAATCCCAGCCCTCACACCTCGACCGCTGCCCACCACCAAGTTGTGCTGGGTGCCTCTCACACTGTGCCACTTAGAGTCGTCTATCTTTGTCTTTACCATGCTTCTGCCATTCCATTCTAAAGTACACAGCCACATTTCTACTGCTCCATTCGAAGGTATAACACATTCCTCCCGGTAGAGCTGTAGCTTCAGTGCCATCTTGGTTCGGGGCAGTCTCATGACTGCCATCTTTGTTGTGGGCAGAGAAGGTTTTCCTATGTTATTGTTTCAGTACCACCTTAGCTAAGGGTGGTCACAGAACTGGCTGTAGCTTCAGTGCTGTCTTGGTTAAGGACAGTCCCATGACTACCCACCATCTTTGTTATGAGCAGTCCCCACTTCATTGCATTTAGGAGAACAGCCTGACTTAAGGTCTCCAAAGACACTTTCCAATTAAGATAAGGCTTTCATTCTTTCCTGCCTTGATAAAGAATAATTTTAATATTAATTTAAAAATTTACAACAGTAAAAAGGTTAGAGATCACTGCCTTAAAATATACATTTAGCCTTATTTTTGCTAGTTATTAAATTACAATATACTCTTAATTTACCAGATACATTCTAGAACAAATAAGCAAATACAAGCTGTCTAACTCAGGTATACTTAATAAATCTTGTTAGAAATCTTCTAAATGTAATGTTAAATGTTTGAGCTTATTATAACAGATAGAGACTCTCAAAGCCCCCCCCCCCCAAAGTCTCTGAGAAGATATGGGCACAGGGACAAGACCGCCTGTGTTGTGGTATGATATGATAACCACTGAGAAAAACTGCTTCCTTGCCTTGCCCGACGCCAGGGCTTGACCTACACTGTGGACAAACAGAGAAGATACCCGGAGAGTTAAATGTCTCAGATTGCCTAAGACAAGGTGAGAATTTCTTCCACATACCTACTCCAGAGGAAAAAGCTTCTCATTTTCTAGGCCTAATGGACAGGCTTTACCCTGCCCGAGTTTTGAAGGAGACCACAGGGACCTAGGAACTGTTTAGGTAGTGGCCTATTGACCAACCTCTGTCAGACATCTCGACTATAATTTATTCTTCCCAGATTTCTGACTATATTGACAGCTAAGCTAACTACAACTAGAAAACAGACCTAGCACCTTAACCCAAGGTAATTCACCACCTTATTAGTTCATTAGTCAATTTGTTAACTAGTTACAACTACCAGATCTCTTATCAAAGACAGACAGGTTTGCCTTACTCACAGGCTTCATGGTAAAGGATGATGCAACCTTTCACAGATGTGACCTTCTGCTACCTCCTTATCTAAACTCAGTTTCCAGTGACTAAATGCTTCATATTTCCTCCCCTTGTTATGTCACTGTCCAAACATTAGTCAATAGAGTTCTTATAAATTAGCCTAACTCTAATAAAACATTCCACTATACAATCCAATTGTTATAATCATAAGTTCAAATTTTAAGTTCCCTTTGGTTGTCTTTTAACTATAGACGAAGGTGTTCCTCATGCTAAACTATATGATCAACTATCATATTCACAAGGTCATTGAATTTTCAAGTTTCCTTTAATTGTCTTTTAAGTGTAAACTTAAAATTGTTTTTCATTATACTAAAGTTACGTATATTTAGTCCCATAGACAGAAGGGAAAAACTCTTCTTGCTCCTTCTGCTCCAAAAAAGGTTTTTGTCTTCCCTGAACTTATCTTAAAGATTGTTCATGCTGTTAACAAACTTATCACTTTTATAAACTTATAAGCTCCAGAAAACCCACTCAGATATACCTCTCATGGACCAAACAGACTCCATCTAGGTAAGTACACCAGCCAATCAATAGCCTAAGTTCTCACTTGCTACTTATCTCATAGGGTGGGATTTCTCTCTTGTTCCCTGGGATTGGGACTCCCCTCACCCCAACCACAGAGACTTCAAATGTACACCTAAGAAAAAGTTTTTTCTCCCAAATGTACTTAACTTTATTTTATGCCTCTAACATATATAAATATGCATGTGTGTGTGTGTGTGTCAGCATTTTGTCAAGTCCAGGTGTTTACTCAAAAATCTACATCCAAGGCAGCTCCAGAGAAGCAACCCATAGATGCTTCAATCTACTCTCACAGACACAAGTGTTTCTACTGGATGTGCTCCTTCTACCTACAGAGGAAGTTTCCATAGACCCTGGACAGCAAGGAAACAGGCAACTCTCCTAAGACCAACATCTCCATCCCTATTTTCTTAGGTTTCCCAGACACGTGTTGCCCCAAAGTCAGCAGGACGTAGCTAAAGATCATGATGACCCTATTCCCGATTCATCATCATCCTTTCTAGTTTCTCCTTTTTTTCTTTTAAATTAAACCAAAATGGAGGAATGTTGGCATTCCTTCTAGGTTCCACCCAGCAGTTACCTGGCAACAACCAGGTGGGCCTGACTTACTATAAAAAGGGTTGTTTGCCCCCTCCTCGATCTCTTATTCTCTCTGATTCTCTTCCCCCCGACCCCTTTCCCCTCCTCTCCCCATCCACATCCCCTCTCTCTCCATGTGTTTCTGAAAGCTTCTCCTCTCCTCTTCTTTTCCTCTTCTCTTTTCTTCTTCTTCTTCCTCCTCCTCCTCCTCCTCTTCCTCCTCCTCCTCTTCCTCCTCCTCCTCCTCTTCGTCTCCTCTCTCTCTCTCTCTCTCTCTCTCTCTCTC